GGATCAGATGCCTTCTTCTGGTGTGTCTGAAAACAGCTACAGTGTATTCATATACATTAAATAAATATTACTTTTAAATTGTGATAAGGATGTTGAAGTGTAGCTTTCAACAATTAATGGCTTCTGGTGGGGTTGCAGGTGGGGAAGGACTCAGTTTTCTTTAAAGGACTGGACACTGGGACTTTGACCATGCTTCAGTGGGTATGTGAGCAACACAAATTGGACTTGTTTCTTCTTCTCCTTCTCCTTCTCCTTCCTCTTCCTCTTCTTCTTCCTCCTCCTCTCCCCTCTTCCTCCTCCTCTTCCTCCTCCTCCTCCTCCTCCTCCTCCTCTTCTTCTTCTTCTTCTTAGAGGAAGTCACAAGGGTGGGGTTGGACCTGGAAGGACTGGGAAGTCAGTGTGACTGGGGTTCATGATGTGAAATTCCCAAATAATCAATAAAAATAGTATAAAAGAAAGAAAGAAAACAAGAAGCTCTAGCTAATAGATAATGTAGAATCCCACATGAAACAAATAGAAAACATGTAGGATGGATATTTTCAAGTGTATAGGGAGAATACAAGTATAAACACTGACAAAGTAGTTTGTTCTTTTAGATTGCTTTTTATTTTATGTATTATGGGTATTTTGCCTGCATGTATGTCTGTGCACATGTGTATGCAGTTTCCTCAGAAGCTAAGAAGAACATGTTGAATACTTGGGAACTGGAGTACTGGGAACCAAACCCAGTGTATTAGTCAGGATTCTCTAGAGGAACAGAACTGATAAAATGAATCTGTGTATATGGGATTTATATATATACAGAAGCTGTGGCCCAGCTAGTCTAACAATGGCTGTCTCTCAATGGCAAGTCCAAGAGCCCAGTAGTTGTTCAGGCCATGATGCACAAAGAAGCCTTGTCTCGGGCTGGAGAGATGGCTCAGTGGTTAAGAGCACTGACTGCTTTTCCAGAGGTCCAGAGTTCAATTCCCAGCAACCACATGGTGGCTCACAATCATCTGTAATGAGGTCTGATGCCCCCTTCTGGTGTGTCTAGAGAGAGTGACAGTGTGCTCACATACATAAAATAAATAAAAGGAGTGTGTCTGAAAAAAAAGAAGCATTGTCTCAAAAAACAAAACAAAAAGATAAACGTGAGACTCTATAATCCCTTTCTTAGATACAGAACTAGGGGAAATGAAGACAAATGTAGACACAAAACCTATATATAAGTATTCAGAGTGGCAACATTTTCAGTGTTCCTAAAGTGGGAACATACCATGTATCAATGGATGAGGGGATAAGTGCCTCAGTGAATAGATACAACGTGGCATATACTTATAGTAAAATATTATTTGGCAATAGATGAAAAGTGTCTGCCACAATATAGATAAATCTGAAAGTGCTATAATGAGCAAAAGAAAGCAGTCACACAAATGTGACAGAAGGACACATATTACATGACTCTATTAAAATTAAACATTCAGAACCAACAAATCCATAGAAACAGAGACAGATACACGGTTGTCAAGAGTGACTGTGCATCTGTGAATGAGCATTAGCATTCTTTGATGTGACAATACAAAACTATTTGGGTGGAAACTGCATTAAAATCTAAAACGTGTGCATTTCATTTTATATTTTTTAATTTTGGGGGTAGGGTTCTATGTAGTACAGGCTGGCCTCTAACTCTCTAAGTGACTGAAGATGACCTTTTGAACTACAAGTTCTCTCACCTCTACATTCCAGGCGCTGGCACCATGCTCAGACCAACCTGTTCGCTTTAATTTTATCATTTTTTAATTACACACACACACACCCCCCACAGGGTATGTGTTGAGACCAAAGGACAACATCTTTCAGGAGATATTTCTCTGCTTCTACATGACTGAGAAAGGGTCTTTCTTGTTTATGCTGCAGTGCTTACCTCAGGCTAGCTAGCATGTGAACTTCTGTGCAATTCCCCTGTCTACCTCCCATATCACTTCAGAAGTGCTGGGATTACAGATATACACCGCCAGCTCTGGGTTTTTAACATGGGTTCTGGGACCAAACTCAGGTCTTCATGGGTTTTAACCTATCTTGCTGGCTCTATCTCGGTACTTTAAATGGCTTTCATGTGAATTATATTTCAGTAGAGCTGTTCTTTTAAAATATATATATACACAAAAGAAACTAAAAAAATATTTAGACCTGATTTAAAATAATGAAATGTTGCCTATTTACTCCTACGGAAACAACAACAAAGTTAAAGAAAACAGACACACACACACACACCATACACACACAGTCTACTTTATATAGCCATAGTCTTGTTCACACAGTACACATTAGATCCTTTTAGGAAGTCACTTTCCATGAACACCTCAGGCTACTGCACAATTCCTGTCCTCACAATAGGGTAGTTTCATCCAGGTTAGGAATGTTCATTTACTAGACTTTGGAACAGTGAGGATGAGAAGTTACCAGGGTTAAGGAGAGATTGCCCTTTCCCTCCTGGGACACAGAGGGCATAGATTTCAGAGTATAAAACAGGTTTACCTCTGGAAGGAAGATAAAGAGGGTACTTCAGTCCAGGTTGGGGAATGGCGGACGTGTTCTAACCAGGATTCTCCTGAAATGTACCCCGATGTATATGCAAGCATTATCAGACCAGCTGAGGATCCATTATAAAATCAGTTGCTTTTGCCTTAAGTACCAAATGTTTTGTTTGTATCTAGGACTCTTGTGTTCCCTATCATTCACATGTGTAAAACTCTGGCAGCTAGCTGGGCTTAATGAACAGTTAAAACCCAGACCCTCCAAGTTTCTTATTTTACATGTGCTCATTCGATTCCACATCAGACGCTTTTTTTTAAATAATTAAAAATCATGATCTTATTTATTTGATGTGTATGTAAGAGTGTTTTGCCTGTATGTATATATATGCATCATATGCATGCCTTGTGTTGGTTGAAAACAGAAGAGGCATTATATACCCTGAAACTGAAATGGTTGTGAGCCACGATGGAAGTGCTAGATACCAAACTAGAGCCCTGTGAAAGAGCAACATGTGCTTTTAACTGTAGAGCTGTCTCTCCAGCCCCTAAAGAGACACATTTTATATCTGCATATTCTTGAAAACTAGAAGCCCCTGAAAACCTATAAACAGAAAACACAAACACACAGATAACCCAATACTATCTCACATCACACTTAAGCAGAAAATTTCTAATAATACACGTACAAATGAGAAAACCAAAGACTTCACTTCTTTTTTTAAAAAAAAAAATTTCAAAAAGATTTACTTATTATGTATACACTAGCCTGCCTGCATGTTTGTCTGCAGACCAGAAGAGGGCACCAGATCTCATTATAGGTGGTTATGAGCCACCATGTCATTGCTGGAAGTTGAACTCAGGACCTCTGGAAGAGCAGCCAGTACTCTTAGCCTCTGACCCATCTCTCCAGCCCAAAATTTCACTTCTTTAAGAGACCAATAGGTCTGTCTAGAGCCATGCAGTCCTGGGTGGGGGGCTGCAAGTTAGGCTACAGACACTTTCTGGCTTTCATTTTGGTGCTTCTAAGAGCTTTGAGGCTTGATGGGAAGGGAAGAAGTGGACATCTGGGGGACTTACTATAGGATCCAAATAGATGCCACATCACAGTGATCAGAGACCTCCCCCAAAAAGGAAACAAAAAGGATCATGTTCTAGCAACGAATCCCTTCTATGGCCACAAGGTTGCTGTCAGTCAATAAGTTTGAGGCACCTGAGAGCCTGGATCCTGAGATGCTGACATGGTTCCTGCTGGTGGTGGGGATTGTGTGTGGTTTTCAAGCAGGTGAGTCCTGATTAGATTAGTGAGGCAGTCACTGGATAGATACAGCAGGAGGGAGGCATGCTGTTGGAACCAATAGGTCTGGGTGGCTCTACACAGCTGTGTGTGGGTGCCTGACAGCCTGGGTGGAGGAATGTCCCTCAGCTGAAGGGTTTGTCTTTCCTCCACCCTTGTTTTTCCAAGATACAGCCAGGCATTACCCAAACAATTGGAATACACAGAAGGAGCCCTTGCCATCAACATCCCCAACACTCTCTGGGAAGAACAGATGAACACTAAGTAAATAACCAGGCAGGGCTCCTGGCTTCATCTCACCTCAGAGAGTATTATTATTCCTGAGAGTATCCCAGAAAAGGGGGGCCTTGCCTCATGATCCAACTGTAGTAAGTACTTGATTTTTGACAAGATACTATTTGGGGAAGATGAACTGGCCTAAGAAAATTGGTTTATGGTGCTGGAAGAAATCTGAATTTGGTTTTAAATGGAGGGAAAGACACTGAACATAGATTTCACCATGACTAGGGATTGAATGATAAGCCCCTGAAGATCACTACCAAAAAGATGCCAAGCTTCCTTTTGTGATTTCCAAGGACATCCCCCACATGTAGTTCTCCCTAAGGTGTGAGGATGGTAACTTGTTGAGATTTAAGCAAAATGGTTACATCGAATAGGAGAGTATAAAAAGTCACCATTTGCAAACAAATACGGGATTATGTCACAGGGTTTCTTACAATTAAATTTTCTGTGTTGAAATAATTGTAGATTCTACACACACACACACACACACACACACACACACATGGGGTGGGGCAGGGGGAGCACCTTTCTGTTGTTTCCTAAGGGTGGTAGCTCATAGGACACAAGGGTTGAACATCACAGCCTTGATAGGCCATTGGTGACCCACTCACCTCCCTAAGTCTCTCTGGTTTGTTCTTGCTCTTTTATTTGTTTCTGAACTTAGCTTTACATGGCTATGTCCTATGTGCTCCTATGTGTGTCCACTTTCATGACCACAGGAAGGATATCATCAGCATAACAAAGCCCCTACTGTTGCACCTTCAAAATCCACCCTCTTCCACCCTACCCAGTTTCTGGGCCACTACTAATCTGTTCTCCAGTTCTAAAGTGCTGTCTTTAAAAAAAAAGTTATATAAATATTTTGTTGGTCTGTTTTTGGTTGCAGTGACAAAATGCCTGAGTATGAGTAATCTTACAAGGAAAGAGCTGTCCTTTGGGACACAATGCTGGAGGTTTAAGAGTTTGCCACAGCTGTCGTCTCGATGCTGGTGAGTACCAATGGATGAGTTCAGTAATGAAGGGAGCATTGCTAGAGGGAGTGATCGATCACACTGCAAACAGGAAGCCGGAGTGAGTGGATGAGCTAAGATGGTCCTCTCTTCCATTCCCCAACCCCTTTTCTTCCAGTGTTGGATGCTGACCTCAGGACTTTGCCTGTTCTAAACAAATATCCCACCACTGAGCTAAGTTCCTAGCACTCAAGCTTCTCTTTTTAAATAATGATTTTTGAGAACCTACTAAGGGGTCCCATGAGAACTGGAGAATTATGTGTCCTTCAAAAGCAGCACCTCAAATGATCTAAAGATTCCTGCTGGGCCCACCTTCTAAACTCTCTCCCATGTCCACATCAGCACTTTGAGGAAAATTTCTAGTACAGTAACACTTGGGACATACCCAGATCATAGCGAACCCTTGCAAATGGAAACCCAGTATATAAGCTGTGGAGCTGGCTTTTACCCCCTCACTCTGACTCTCCCGGTTGCGGTACACATTAGCTCTTCATTCCTGAGTAATATTCCATGGTACCTATACTGCCGTTTACTCAATCGTTCACTGGCTAAAGGACACCTGGGTGTTTACACTGTTTTTTGATGATCACAAACAAAGCTGCTGCAGGTTTTTATCTCTCGTGGATAAAGACTCATGACTGAGACAGCTGACTGAGATGATAGCTACATTCTTAGTTTTACAAGAAACTGCCAGCTTGTTTTCTATAGCCTTGACAACTTTTAGAATTGTCAGTATTTTTATTTAACACTCTAAAATGAAATATTGTATTAGCTCATTGTAGTTTTTTGTTTGTTTGTTTGTTTGTTTGTTTGTTTTTGAGACAGGGTTTCTCTGTGTAGACCAGGCTGACCCCGAACTCAAATTCATCTACCTCTGAGTGCTGAGATTAAAGTCATGCTCCATCACCATCTGGAGCTCATTGTGGCTTTAATTCGAATTTTTCTGGAGGCTAATAAAGTTAGTCATTAAGCCTTATTTGCCACTTGTTTTTTTTTCTTGTTTTTTTCAGGTTTTTGCCCATATCCTTAATTGGATTTGAAAAACACCATGTAGTAGTCTTTTGTTAGATATGTGGCTTGGAAATATTTTCTTACAATCTGTGTGTATAAAAACCTCTTGATAAAAGCCGCATTAACCCTATAGGACAAGTCAGAGAAAAGTAATATTAGCTAACATGCTGAGTCTTTCAGTATGTGAATAAAGTATACTTGTTCATTTCTCTAGGTTTTTGTCGGTTTCTTTCTTTTCTTTTTCTTTTTTCTTTTTAAAAAAGATTTATTTATTTTATGAATGTAAGTACACAGTTGCTGTGATCAGACACACCAGAAGAGGGCATCAGATCCCATTACAGATGGTTGTGAGCCACCATGTGGTTGCTGGGAATTGAACTCAGGACTTCTAGAAGAGCAATCAGTGCTCTTAACCACTGAGCCATCTCTCCAGCCCTGTCTCTTTCAAAAGCGTTGTACAATTTTTGGCATATAAGTGCCATACCTGTTTATAATTAAGTATTTTATATATTTTGTTTGTTTATTTTTTGTTTTTCAAGACAGGGTTTCTCTGTAGTCCTGGCTGTCCTGGAACCCACTCTGTGGCCTGTGCTGACCTGGAACTCACAGAGATCCACCTACCTCTGCCTCCCAAGTGCTGGGATTAAAGGCGTGAGCCACCACAGCTGGGCTGCTGAGTATTATTTTTGACCATACTTAGATCATGACTGTATTATTTTTCATTTTGATTAGTGGTAGAGTGTTTAGGAAGGCAGCTGTTGATTGTACACCTATCTTTCACTTGATAACTTTGTTGAACTTACCTACGTAGCACAAGCGCCCTAAGAGAGTAGATGGAGGCAGATCAAAAGATTTGGAGATACAGGAGGCAACTGTGGTGATGGTTCCATTTGGTGATAGGCTTAGATACTACCTAAACAGGAAGCTGGTGACAGGTAGGTTCCCACCTAAAGCTAGGGCCTTGAACAGTGAAGCCTGAACTGCCCTCGCAGTCTCTCAAGTAGAATGTCCAGACATCAAAGTCCCCAGCCCAAGGCAGCTCCAGGCCATAGGAGGAGGGTATAGGGATACAGCAAGACTCCAGAGTGAGCAGTGAACTATGGCCCAACAGATAGGAAAGGACATCGAAAATGGCAAGGACCGAAGGCCTTATCGTGGGTCTCAGAGGGGGACTGCCCTTTTCAGGGCACCACCAGGTTTTGCTCATTTTCTCCTTACTGAACGGGACTTCACCTACCAATGGGGGAATCCATCTGACACGTACACAGCCCCACTAAGAACACATGAAAGGCTGGAACCACACAATAAGCTTGTTCAGACCCGTATGGTTGGCAAGTGGTACCATCCAATACTGAAGATAAACAGCAGGAATACTGGAAGGTAGAGGCCAGGCTAGGCTACATCAGTGAGACTCCTGCTCAAAACTCAAATCCCTAAGCCCAAGTAATGAACAAAAAGGAATAGTATTCCTGAGGGCGAGATCATCGGGATGTGTTTGAAGGAGAAAAAGCCTCCTCGCTGAGAGAAAGCCACCTCCTGTCCCTGCTTGGCCAGTCCCCCTATTCCTCCACGGCAGGGACTGTTCTCTCTCTACCCTACCAGCTCTTCATTCATTCACACTAGTCTGAATAGGGCTTATTGGTACACTGGCCTTCTCTTGAACCAGCCAGGCCAAACACAGTGGCAAGTGTCAGATAACTCTCATCAACTGCTTTAGGCCAGAGTCAGGTGATAAGGGCAAATTAAAGAGCCTTAAGTGGGACTGGAAGCTGCCTACTCTGGAAGCTACCTACTCGAGGGCAGGAATGGTGTAGCCAGGCTCAGCCTTTCCTCGCCTTCCACCCTGCCTCTTTCTCCTCTAGGAGGAGTCTAGTGACAGGCCCGGATTAGAGGAATTTGAAACAGTTCCCTATCTCCTCCTCCAGGTTGGCCTCAGGACTTCAAGAATTTGGAAGACCTTTAAGGAAATGCAGACTTTACTGAAGTAGAGACCCATTTCCCGCACTTACCACCGCGGATGTGTTCCTAGTGCAGGCCGCACACACTTGTGTCCAAATTACCTCTTAAAAGGAATTTTTCTCCCTCCCGTTTCCACCTTGGCTTCTTTCACCAAACTTGTCCTTTGGGGCGGAGACTAACCAGATCATTCCGCCCCGCCCTGCTCCTGGGACAGCCTACCCACAGTCGCAGCACTTTGCAGCGTAATGCAAATAGGCGGCCAGCAGACACTGGGATGGCCGGGACTGTGGATAGGCTGGAAGCCTGCAATAGCCCGGAAACATCTGGGACCACCGGAGACGCGTTGCCTGGTCCCCGAGTATATGCGCGTCGCTGGGTCTTTCTGCTGGTGGTCAGCCTCCTGAGCTGCTCCAACGCGATGGTACAAGGGTGTCGGGGCGGGCAGGGCGGGGTCTTTCCAACAGCCCCAGCACCAAATTGTTTTCATCTAGTCACAGAAAACCGACTTTTCTTCTGGCTCGAGAAGTTGTAAGAGAAGGGGCAAATGCCTGTCCTGCCTGGTATGGATTAGCCAGGGAAACAGGTCTCTTAGGCTCGAGGGTCTCAGCCCTGCAACATGTTGCTTTCTGGTACTGTCTGTCCCTAGCCCCCAACTGCTGATGTCAGCGGCCCTCCGTCCTTCCCTCTTCATTCCATCAGGTGCAGTTGGACTGCAAGTGATCCTCCTGAGGAACAGGTACACAGCATTTGAGTTTGAGTGGAGGGAGAGCGTGGAGCTGCTGTCATCTGCCTCTCAGAGACAGCTGCTCAGCCCTGCACCTTTCTGGAGCTGGATTGCCTTAGTACCTGTGAAGGAACTTTGGGTCACATGTGGCCAGCCACTCAGCTGGATAGCATTTGGGCCATACAGCATACAGCTATGAATTGTAACAAATACAGTTCAGACTGTGCCAAGCATGTGGGACCATGAAGCCCACTGGCCCTAGTGGAGACCCAGCCAGATTGGTGACAATATAAGGTGTGGATGGTGTCCAGCACACTATGGGTTCAGTTGCTAACTGGCATTCCATGTGAACCAGCAGTACTGGTTGTGAAGAAATAGCTTTGGGTAAAGGTGTGAATACAAGTCATGAGCCTGGAGTATTCTAACTGTGGCAATATAAGAAACTTCTCTTCTGGTAGCTAGCTTTGCTGAGACTTGTTGCTATGGGTTGACTCACAGGTTCCCTTTCTAACACTGGAAAACATGACTGGTTTGGGATAGATGTCTGAAGACACATAAAGAAATCTACTCGAGTTTTACCTTTTGTAGATAAGGCAAGTTCCTGGGACACTTGGGTGATGTCCTGCTGTCCTTATGGAGAGAGAATATTACCCTAACACTATGAATTGTCACGGTCCTGGCTGGGTCCCCATTATGACCAGTGAGCTTCATGTTTAATCATGCTTCCTGGAATTTCTGATCTAGTGTCTGGGTGCTAGGGCTCTGAGAGAGCAGCCTGAGCAGGCAGGCACAACAGAGCTTATGTGAGACCAAGAGATGGCCCAGTGTTTTGGATGGGAAGGCAATCAGGGGCTGGGTCAGGGTGAGACTTAAAGCTGGTTGAAAGTCTTCTCGTTTTTATTCTTGTATCGTTAGATGGATTTTTTTTTCTCCACCCATCTTACACATGTTACAGATCTCTCTGTCACTTTTATGTGGGGTCATAGCTCTGGGAGGAGCAAGGACAGTCCTGTGAGACTTAGGAGATTTTTCTTGTTCAACACAGCATTTTTTTTGTATACCTGGTCCCCTGTCTGCTCTATGAAGCCAGGCAGAAGGCAGCTAGGCCTGTATCAGGGGCTCTCTAAGCCTGAGAGATCTGTTCCTTGTGTTGTCCCGAGAATAAAGAAGGAAATGCAGTTGTTGCACAATCTTGGTGTTTCCCAAGGCTTTGTGGTGGGGAAACCTGGGACTCTGTTCAGTTCTAGAGGGTGTGGCTCTCTATCATGATCAGTAGGGTTCATCGGGAACTTTGATTTGGGACACACCCTTGTTGGGCTATATAACTATTCTCTCTACTGGTCTAAGCTTGATGACTCCTTCTCTCCACTCAGCTTCCCGTACTTCTTCCAGAAAAACTTCCTCCACTCTGCACTCTGGGCTTCAGAGTCCCTATATTTTGTAGTGCCTAAGATGCGAGAGTATGTGCAAAGAGAGATTCCATTGATTCTGTCCCATCTCTAAAGAAGTCCTGACTGAACTCTTCTGTCCTTGGCTGTTGGCCTCTCCCTTGGTCCTCGTGTGTGCACTGAGCCGCTAAGGCTTCATTATCCATCTAGATGTCTGGCATGGAGTTGCCACCACACACCAAACCTCATAGTCTCCCCAAAATGTTGTCCTTACCCATCTTGTCTCAGCACGTTGTTCAACCATGAAATTTGGAACCATGGCTACCATCTTCCCTGATTCTCATCTCTCCCTCTCTTACCCCAAGTGCTCCAGTATTGTGTCCTTAAGTGTTATGACTTACTCAGTGTCCAGGATATCTCACCCACTGAGATTCTGGCATCTCTGTCCCATTGTTCACAGCCAACTCATAAGCTGCTCACTCTCCTCTTTCTGTCACCTTTAACACGGTGCCTCCCAGGCAGTGGACACTAACCCTATTGATTGACTTCAGCTTCCTCAGAGAATCAAGTCAATCCTAATTAGATTCATGACCCTGCAGTCCCTGGCCAGGTTTTTGGCCTCTGTATCTGCCTCCAGGCTGGTTCATGGTCCACTGCTAGTTAGGCTGTAGTCCATGCCTGTCTGCTTTCCTGGTTTGTGTAACACAGTAAATGTGATTCTCTAGCAGGATGACCCAGAATTTCTATCAGGCTGTGTCCCTATAGCCTTAACAGGCACACCTATGCATCTCTGCTCCTATCCTGAGCTAGCCAAATGGGGTTCGTAGGCTTCAGGCAGAACAGAGGTGATGTTCTGTGACCTGTAGCTGACTTATGTGTATTCCATAGCTTTGGCTCAGCTTTGCACCTGTAGCAGACACCATAGCACAGCACTTCCTCCTGTCCATGGAGCAGGTTAACTGGCTGTCACTAATATACCTTGTGTTAGCCATCCCATTTGGCATGGCAGCCATATGGGTTCTGGACTCTGTTGGCCTCCGTGGAGCGGTAAGTCAGACTTCATTCCATTCCTGTGTGGGGTGGGTGGGCTGGGGACCCTTTGACTTTGAGTGCAAAACCCTGATCCCTTCAGATTAGACTCCACCAGCCCCACCTGCTAGGCTTCCCAGCAAAGCAGCTTGGGGGAACAGGTAGATGTTGGGGTGTCCCTAAAAGCTCGGGATAGGCATCTGGAGATGTGGATGTTGAGGCTCTGGGCTAGCATATAGTCTCTGACTGTCCATTCCTGCAGACTATCCTGGGTGCATGGTTGAATTTTTCTGGGAGTTTGCTACGTGCCGTGCCGTGCTTGGCCGTCAGGATCCCCAGTCCCTTTGCCTTCTTCATGAGTGGCCAGAGTCTCTGTGCCCTGGCCCAGACCCTGGTCATCTCTTCTCCAGCCAAGCTGGCTGCCTTGTGGTTTCCAGAGCACCAGCGAGCCACAGCTAACATGATCGGCACCATGTGTGAGTCCAGGGATGGAACCTCTGCAACCTGGGCTCTGCTCATAGGCCCTGCTGGATATCTGTAATCTTCTCCCCAGCTTGAGCCAAGGCCAAGGTGCTTGAGCCAGGAAGGATTCACCCCAAGGATTGGGGTGAGGCTTGCCACAGCTGATCTGATACAACTGTTTTTCTATCCAGCAAATCCTCTGGGCCTCCTTATAGCAAATGTGTTGTCTCCTGCCCTAGTCAAGAAAGCAGAAGACATTCCTGTGATGGTGAGGGTCTCATGATTACCTTGCATGTGGCATGTATGCTACGTGAACTTGAGCATATATACATATACTTGTGTACACAGTACATGAAGTCATTGTTCTTGTGTGTGGTATATACTCACATTTGTTGGTATGACATACCTGGGTGCATTAGCATCATCTCCTTATGTGGGGCTAAGTTTGGAGCCTTGGGAAGTTGGGGTGGTGTCATCAAGGAGGGAATCATCCTTGAGTGGTTTTCTGAAAGCTAGGTTCTACATGAAGCTGTGAAGAGCAGCTGGGGGGTGGAGTCATATAGTCGTCCCCCCCCCCAAAGGCTTAGATTTGCTGACTCACGAGAGTTTAAAGGCAGGAGGTAGCTAGTAAGATGGGCAACGTAGACTGAGACATGTGGGGTCACATGTCAGTCTGACTTCTTTGTGACACTCAGAACCTCTCCCCAGCTAGGCATCTATATTGTTCCTGCTGCCCTTGCCTGTCTGATGGCCACTGTCTGCCTCTGGGAGAGTGTGCCTCCTACCCCACCATCCACAGGGGCTGCCAACTCTACTTCAGAGAGTTTCCTCCATGGGCTCAAACTGGTGGGTAATGTGGGTTCTGGGGACAGGGAAGCTGTGGTCAGAAGCTTGCTGGGGCTTCTGAGTTAAGGGCTGTTTTCTCTTCTAGCTCATACAGAATAAGGCCTATGTCATCCTAGCCGTATGCTTTGGTGGTGGCATTGGTATCTTCTCTAGCTTCTCAGCCCTCCTGGAACAGATCTTTTGTGCCAATGGCTACTCTAATGTAAGTAGTAGCCCTTCCTAAAGACTGGGCTCTGTCTCTGCCAGGGTTACCTGCTGTTTCTGAGCAATCAGTGCCCACATCCTCCTTCTGCCACCATTAGAGATTAGATCAGGATCCTCACATGGAAGTGACAGTCATGGCCTCTGGTGTGTATGGGTCTCTCATGGGCTATAGGCATGAACCCAGGGGTCTGTGTTATCTGTGATGATACCCTTTCCATTTAGTGGTGTGCACATTGCAGAAAACCCATCTTAGGAGGCAGCTTGATAGGATTGTCTAGCCTGGTTCTTTGGAACTGCTGTGGTGGTGATATACACCCTAAGGAGCTCTGGAGGCTCCTTGCTTCCTGATGGTTCTCAGCTTTCCCTCCACACTTCCAGGAGTTCTCAGGCCTCTGTGGGGCTCTCTTCATCGTGTTTGGAATTTTGGGGGCACTGCTCCTAGGCCTGTATGTGGATCGGACCAAGCACTTCACTGAAGCCACCAAGATAGGCCTCTGTCTGACTTCCATGACCTTTGTGGCCTTTGCTCTGGTAAGACTATTAGGAACAAAGACTACCTACCCAGGATGGAGGGATACTATGGCAGGCAAGAGGGTAGAAGCAGCAGGTACAGTGGTGGCTTGCCAAGAGCAAGTGTCTCAGTGTCAAACCTGATCTGGGCCTGAGGGTAGCCCTAGGTAGAACTGGCTTCAGTGCCACATCCATGCTACCAAGTCTAGGAGCTCAAGGTGGGGCTGGGGGTGGGGGTGGCATGTCTCACTGACATCCCTGTTACATTCTTCTCTGCCCCTTTGCTGGTACCAGGTATCCCAGCTGCAGAGACAGACCTTTGCACTGGCTGCCATCTGCTCCCTCCTTGGGCTCTTTGGCTTCTCAGTGGCACCTGTGGTCATGGAACTTGCAGTTGAATGCTCATTTCCTGTGGGTGAGGGTGCCTCTGCTGGCTTGATCTTTGTCCTGGGGTGAGTATCCTTTTATGCTAACCTCCTCTCCTAAGGCATGGACTCCTTCCCTTACCCTGCCTGGGCTACATGTCTTAGTCTCCTGATTCGTGAAGCTCCGAACCTTCTTTCTCTGGCCAGACATAAGCATGTACTTGCTGTGTACATGCAAGCCTGGGCCAGCTGCGAGGCGGATGTACTGTCCCAGGAGTAACAGGTGTTGTAGTGGTTGGCACAGATGTTGTTCCCTGCCCACAATGGTATTAAATGTGGTGGACAGAGAGCTTTTCTGCCCAGGCTGAGAACCCTGTGTATCCAGGCAGGCCGAGGGCGTGCTCATCATGCTGCTATTGACAGCGCTGACTGTGCAGCGAACAGGTCCATCCTTTTCTACCTGCCAGCAGGGTGAGGACCCTCTGGACTGGACAGGTGAGTGTCTGTGCCTAAGCTTTGGCCCTAGAGAGCTAAGACAAGACCAGGAAGATAAGGTTATTAGGAGCCCTGCCCCAGCTGAGGATCTTGATTCTGGTTGCTCTTTAATCCCCCAGGTCAGCAACAGTTGCTCTAAGTGTGAAACAGTGTGGTCAGACGCCTGGGTTCTGCTTGTGGGTGTAGTCCAAAGACTCTGACACAAATCCAGTGTCATGTGAGGTGTTTCAAAATCCAGGAAAATAGACTAAGAGCTTAGACAGAAAGGGGCAGAGATCTTGGAGAGAAAAGGAGAAAAAGAGACAAGGACAGAAATAGAAATACAGAGATGACAGGGAGATAGGGATAAAGGGAATTTACCAGGACAGACAGAAGGGAAAATAGGGGTGAGTCAGAAATAGACAGGGATAGAGACAGAGCTACAAAGAGACAGGAAGATTGAGAGAGCGATCAGCAAGCAGGCAGGCAGACAGACACAGACAGACAGACAGACAGACAGATGCAGACAGACAGACAGATACAGACAGAGGCAGACAGAGGCAGAGAGATGTGGAGACAACAGTGGATAGAGCAGTAGTGGTAAACCCATGTCCCATAACTCATGATTCCTCGCTGCTGGAGCCTGGGTCTGGGAACATCCTGAGAGCTGTTGAGGGTTTAGACCAGTACTGTTTCCAGACCTCTCGTCATGACTCTCAGCAGATACCTGATGGGGTAAGAGGCAAATGCCTGGGATATCAGAATGTTTCCTTTTCCTAATGGCATGTATAGTAATCCATCTATGGAAGAGGTTTAAGATAGCAATGGATGGATAGACAATGGCACCCTGGGTCATGAAGGCCCAAATGGCAGGAATTAGTTATTCCAAATGACTCTGCTCTAAGAGTCTGGGTGGCTAACACTGGGTACTGTCAGCTGGGTCAGGTCTACCAAGGCTTCACTATGTTGGGAACTGGGGGCTCTGGCTGCCTGGACAGTTGAGAGACAATCCTGTGCTTGTTGTGTCCCTAGTGCCCCTTCTGATGCTGGCTGGCCTATGTACCCTTTTCACCTGTGTCTTGGTGATCTTCTTCAACACCCCATACCGGCGCCTGGAGGCTGAGTCTGGAGGATCCTCTTCACCCACAATGTGTGCCAGGAATCCAAGGAATGTAAACCCCACCCAAGTGTCACCACTTGAGACTCCTGGCTTGACACCTCGAGATGAGGCCTTGAAGGAGGCTCCTGGCCCTGTCTCCAAAGCTTCTGTCTCCAAAGGGCATTCAGAATGGGCAGAGACTATGACCAGAGATGTCTAGTAAAACATAGGCTTGCTAGAATCTCTTTAATTGTGCCAGCTGTGCTAAAAGCTCTGACAGAGACACAAAGTCAATAGCAGACCCAGGGTATGATAGGATGGCCTTTTGGTCCTCAGGAAGACTATGATGGAGTTGGAAATAGCTGCTATTGTATGGATACTGGCCAGTTAGGGTGGATCCTGGCCAAGCCATATGTGTGTCTACTGCAAGAGGGCCTGTGGCAGGGGCAGAGGGAGTGAGTTAGGGACTCCTGGCATAAGACTGGGGGAGTTCCATAGGCTATGGCATGACCAGTCTGAGGTAGACAGGGATAGGAAGAACTTGTCTCCACTCTATGACCAGGCACTGAGCCTGATTCTAAAATAGCACAGCAGGTGGTGAGCTGGTCTGAGCTGAGCAGGGAACATATTCCCGCAATGAGCACTCACAGCAAAGTTTATGTGTCCAACTTTATTGAGCTAGCTGCAGTCTGGATGGTGGAGCAGCGTCTACTTCCTCTTCTGCATGGGCAAGCATATAGGTCAGCACTTTGTAGTCTAGTTGCCAGCCACATCGATGAAGGCAAAACTCCAGCATCTGTTCACCTGAAAGTGAGCCTAAGATAGGCAGGGTATCCATGGGGAACTCAGATTGGTGGTGGGAGGAGGAGGAGAGACAGGTTCCTGGGCTCCAGCAGCCCAGACACAGTAAATTACAGGCACTGAACTTCATCCAGTGGGCTCCTGAGTCTTGTTTGACTTGTTCAGGGGTAAAAAGGGTCAGAGAGCCAAGGGCCAGGTGAGGGGAGGGACTGGGGAATGTATGCAAGGTAAGGTCAGAAGAGGGATTGGAGGAAGTGGGGCAGAGAGGGATGGGAGAAGGGAAGGTGTAAGGGAGAGGGGGATGGAGGGAAAAAAGGGGTGGAAACTGGGAGTTGTGGTGGTGGTGGTGGTAAATAGATGGTAT